TAAAGCCATCTGTGATAAATAGGTGACTGTGGCTCAATCAACAACATAAATAAAATTTGCTGAAATGCATGGTTGGGAACTGTGTTTTCTCCAATGTTTGAACCAGGCAGCCCTGCTATACACAGGGAGCCATTTCTCACTGCTTTCTTGACTAACCTAACCCAATTTCCAGCTGTGGATTCTAGAAAGACTCATTCTGAACAAACAAACATGCCTTTCTTATGTGAATTGATGTCTGCTCTAGTGATATATTTCTCCTTCATTTAATGCAATCTGAGCTTTATTTTTCTATAGCAAATGAACATGTCACTGATTACTTCTCTGCAATTATTCCATTATCTTTTCCACAAATCCAATTATTCAAGTTACTGCCTATACCTGGGTATGTGTTTCTGGTTATGGAGTGTGTGTGTGTGTGTGTGTGTGTGTGTGTGTGTGTGTGTGTGTGTGTGTGTGAAATTTATGTTAAGAACTGTACATAGTGCTCTAAAAAATTATTTCTGATGTTGATGCAGTCATACAACTAAAGATAGGAAAGATCAAAAGACAGCAAGACACCTGAATTAGATGTTATAATTAAGAAATCCTTGACCTGAAACCATATAAATATGTGTATTGGCCCAGCTTGGACCTATTCTCACTGGGTATCCATGGGCCTCCATTTGCTTAATTTTAAAATAACAACATCAGTGCTTCTCAAACTTGGCTGGTCATTGGAATCATCTTGAGAGGTTTTAAACAGATAATAGTATGTATGCTAAGGGTTTCCAATCCAGCAAACCAGGGATAGGGGCTAATCAAAATCTGTATTTTTAGCAAGGTCCTTTGATAATTTTTATAGTCAATGGCACATCTGGGAACCTAGATTTGGAAACACTGGGACTCAATAATACTTGATGTTCTTAGAGCACAAGAAGCCTATGAGTCAATAAAATCCCAAAGCCCTCCCTTTGGATACACACCCCCCTCTGTTCTGCTGACCAACACAAAGGGGATAAACTTGACCTGAATTTAGAAAACTGGGAAACAAATAAATGTGATCCATTCGACAATTTTTTCTCCACAGTACTCTTTCCTCTATGTCTTTGCACTAAAGTCTTGACTATCCAGGGATTTTAGTGATATTGGAGGTTTGAAGTCCCTAAGAAGGTAAAAGCTGACAGGTTCACTACTCTCAAAGACCAAGAGGTGGAATATATGAAATAGTATTCAAGTTTCCACCAGTAACTTTATAAACTTATTCACAAAAGTTCCTCAGAGTCCATCCCAGTCAGAGGAGCTCAGAGAACCTCTTGGTTCTTTGGAAAAAGATGACCAAGAATCATGAGACATGAGAGCTCCCCAGTCTCAATGCAGGTGAGTCTGGTCAACAACATCAATTTAATTCATAAACACATGATCACAACATTGGCTGCCAGCTTTGTAGGTTTAAAACCTTGTTGTTACAAGATGGAAGATGTGACTTCGCTTAGAACCTTCACTGATGAAAACAAAAGGCAAAGCTTCTCATTTTCCAGAAGAATAAATTAGTTTACTTCATAGTGGAAAAACTGAAAATATGTTTCCCTTATTTTCTAACCAGTGGTGTAGCATAAAGTGTGTTAAACATGTTTCCATGCACTGCTCAACTGAATATGTAAAGACAGCTTTCACATGCCTCCATAGGTCATCCTTTTTCTCATTTAAACATATTCAGGAGATTCAAACATTTACCACATTTCCAAGTCTTCATACTTTCACCGCTTTAATAGTATCTAAGTGGGAATACCTCATTTTGACGGGGTTCTGATGTATCCAGTATCAGTGTGGAGACCAGTTTTGTTTTGTTTTGTTCTGTTTTGTTTGTTTGAGGTATAATGCAACCTCACCATTTCTTTCAACTCTTCAAAATAGTCCTTATTCTACATGTTTAGTATAAAAAAAACACCCACAAGTTAAGTGTACCACGATGTAGAGAGAGAGACACAACACTGAACTTCCATAACAGTCAATGGTATAGTAAAACATCACATGTATAGAATGTAAAACTTCAGTTTCAGCAAAGACTAAGATAACACTTCTATTAATATTATACCCATGAAAAAAATAAGAGCTACATGAAATACATCTAAACCTACTATGAGGTATGGAATTAAGCCCAGTCAAGCCCAACCTAGATCAGCTGAACTCCATGTTACCCAAAGACACATGCACAAGAATTAAATGCTTATTGTATAGGCCATGAGTTTAAGTGGCCTTCTACATGGCATTATTAAGCTGGCTGGTCAGGGATGGGAGTTATACCATTCTGTAATGCATGTAGAAAAGTACCTACAAACACTTTAATAAATATACTTCTAAAGTAACATCTTTCTAAAGATGTATGCTAAAAAAACACAAAAATTAAAATAAATAAATAGAACTTACATGTCACATCGCTATGATATGACAGTTATCATGTCAGTCAGCTCACAATTCTTTTAGCTGGTCTTTTTTTTAATCTCCACTGGAATATGGACATACTGATTGCATTCTTTAAGAAATCCCCAACTAGAAAATTTGGAATCTAATTTTTTCATGTAATTTATATTAGGACCCTTTAAATATGAATTAAACTCAAAATCACATTCACTCCTAAGCTATCACACCCAAGAGTAGTACACATTTTTTAACATAGTGCCAATACCGAAGATTAAAAACAAACAAACATTGACTCTTAGGTATTTCATACTTTTAGTAGCCCTGCCTTGTAGTCCATTCCCACAGATTTAACAAATAGTTCTGTGAGTAAAGCAAACAACAGTGTTTCTCAATGAGGCATTTCCACTGATTTGAGTCTACAGAAAAAGCCCTATCGGGATAGACCTCAACTCCAGACATACTTTGCCACACCTTCAAGATCCATTTTCATGGTCAAGTACTCCCCTGATTCACACTTGTCACAGTAGGAAAGTCCTACAATTCCTTTATGTATATCATTTCTTCTAGAACAAGTCTGAACTTTTCTGCAGCTTGCCCCTGGTTATATGTTTGGAAGCAATAAGGGTTAGGAGGACGCTCAGGAGGAGAATCAATATCACTGCATGACAACTTTTTCAAAGGAGGTGATGGCCCGGTGTCTAGGCTAAGGAAGACTGTTCTTTCCTCTCTTTCAAGGGAGAGGAAGTTACTTTTGACAACCATGAGGATGCAAGATGTGTGACTTCATGGTTCTCACCCTTTCCCACACAAATGTGTCTATGTTAAATCTCAAAGCCCCACTCTTTCCCTATCAGAACATTGACTTCAACAAAAAAATTCTGGTGAGGTTGCGCCTTAAGTCATCTTTGCAGTTTTATCATATTTATTATAAAATTCTGGACCAGAATAAGATCATAATCTCTGTCTGAAGGAGATATGGCAACAGTAGCCATGGGATCGCTATATTATAACATGTCCATAGGACATAATAGATAGAGTGTATCTGGGGAGGCACCTAAATTGGATCAAACAGGCACCCCTTTTCATATTTTCTTGTCTTGAAAGAGAAGAAAATTTCAACTAAAACTTAGCCCACTGGAATCTACTACTGTGCAAACCTTGCAAGAGCAGAATCAAACTGTAGCACTCATGATCAATGATAAACTCTTTGATATGGATTAACCTTGAAATTTACAGAATCTGAAAAAAATAGTGATGTATATGTGTGAGTAGAGTTCACTGTGGAATTCACAAGTTTCCATTCCTACACAGAGAAATAGATGACCTTTTCTCAAGATAAAAAGTGTCTAAAGTTACTGGTAAAATAAATTTAATTAAATCTAGTCATCTTAATATAATTTAGTAGTTTATAAATAGAAATAGACGTGCCCAATTAAATATATATATATATATATCCATATTGACTTTGGATACAAATAAGAAAACAAATCAAAATCAGAAAGATTCTTAGTTATGATGTAATTACAAACTGTGGTATTGACAGATAGTGACAAAAGGCAGTATCTCTCTCCATTGCATTCATATATAATTCACCCAATCTCAGTCTCTCTCAAGTTACTCTCTTTTCAGGATTGTATCAAAACCCACTAAAGTAATTCATACCTGTTATGTAACTCTGTTTCAAAGCCTAAAAACCCTCTGGTTTATAATATTTTTCTTGAATTAGTTATTATTTTTAAATCCCCTATCATCACCTACTTTTATTTCTAGCCCACATAAATATATCAACCTTAATGTGGGCCATCTATGCCATAATCATAACTCAATGTTATAAATAAGTTATTCAAATTGGTATGATTCAAGAGACAATGTAATACTTTTCTAAAACTTGAAGGAATCATTTTAGGAGAAAAAAGGAATTCTTACAAAAAGAATAATGAGTACACCACAATAGTCAAAAACCTTCCTAGGATAAAAAAGACTCCCTCAAAAGGGTAAATTTTCTCACTGTGTTCTGTCACTGTTCTAGAAGCATCTAGGTAAACATGAGACTAATTCAAAGTATAACCCCAAGAAATAGAAGGGATATTTCCTAGATTATGTATATTGATTCTTAAAATATGAAGATCCTATTATTATTGAATCTGGTGCTTTCTGCTGAGTCAGGAAGAACAACCAACTTGAAGGTCCATGATGAGACATGATGAAAACACAGTGTCTAATAAATAAACCATTTGGAGGGAAAAACTGCCAGGCTGTGGATATAATCATATAGAAGTGTAACTATAAACAGAGAACACCAGAAGTCAACATGAAGAAGAGCAGTGAAAACACCAGATCAAAAACTCAGTGATATTAGACAGGCAAGAGAGGCAGAGACACAGTGGTGTGTTTTACTTGGCTGTTTGCACCCGTATCTTGTTATACCTAAAATTGACTCAACATCACCTAGTGTATGTGTTCACGCTGCCTATTTTCCAGAAGGAACTAATTGTCATGCCCAAGTTAGGATTATATCACCTCCACAATAAGAAGATAATATTCTCAATGGACTTCTTCTACATTGATCCAAATTATAAAGAAAAATTGGAAACTTCCATTCATCGTTTGTCATCTGAGATCAAGTTCTTGCTCCATAGCTTCCTCATGGCATTTTTCACTTCTGCATTCCTCAGCGTATAAATCAGAGGGTTAAGCAAAGGGGTTCCGAGGGTATAAAACACAGCTATCATCTTATCCATGGGGAAAGTGGTTGCGGGGCGTGTGTATATAAATATGCAAGGACCAAAGAACAAGATGACCACGATGATGTGGGAGATGCATGTGGAGAGGGCTTTTCTCCTCCCTTCAGCACTGTGGTTTCTCAGAGAATGCAAGATGATAATATAGGAGACCATCAGCATGACAAAACTCACTGTACAAATGGCCCCACTGTTGGACACCAAGAGTAGATTGATCACATAGGTGTCTGTACAAGCAAGTTGCAACAAGGGCTGCAAGTCACAGAAATAGTGATCGATTACATTGGGACCACAGAAAGGTAAACTTAAGGCCAGGAAAATCTGAGCTAAAGAATGCACACAGGACCCCACCCAGGCCACAGCCACCAACACACTACAGACCCGTCGACTCATGATGGCCATGTAGTGAAGGGGCTTACAGATGGCCACATAACGGTCAAGGGCCATAAGAATCAGAATGAAGATCTCCAGGCAGCCAAAGAAATGGAATGAAAAAACCTGGACTATGCACTCACTGAAAGGGATAGTGGTGTTCTTGAGAAGGGTATCTACAATCATTCTCGGGGCTATGGAAGTAGAGAAGCAGGTATCAGATAAGGATAAATGGAAAAGGAAAAAGTACATTGGACTCCCAAGTGTCCGGCTGGTCTTGATAGTAGAAATAATCAGAAAGTTACCCAACAATGTCCCCAAATAGAAAAGTAAGAAAGTGACAAACACTATTTTCTTCCTAAAAGGATCCTGGGTCAACCCAAGCAGAATGAACTCAGTCACATTATTATTCAGCTGCATGATTTCATGAATGAGGAGAAGAGGTGAGTGTGAAATGGTTGATCTGCAAAAAATAAAGGAATTCATTCATGGTGTGATATGTGATTTTATGAAACATTTTATGAAAAATAAGTATTCTTTATCATAGACATTTCAGTTGTGGTTTCTTAATAATTCATCTTAACTCTTTTTTAATCTTGTGTGTTTGAATTTTTAATTAAATTTATTCAGGTGACATTAATAAAATTATATAGGTTTCAAGTATACAATTCTACAGTACATCATCTATATTTGTTTGTGTGTTTACCACCCAAAGTCAAATCTCCTTCCACCATATATTTGACCCCCTTTACTGTCTTCTACTGCCCCCTCCCCCTTACCCTCTGGTAACAACTAAAATGTTGCCTGTGTCTGTGTCTGTGAGATTTTATTTGTCTTGTTCATTTGTTGCTTTCAGTTGTGTATCTCACATATGAGTGAAATCATATGGTTCTCAAGTCTTTCCATCTGACTTATTTCACTTAGCATGATAATTTCAAGATCCATCCATGTTGTCACAAATGTCAATATTTCATCTTTTCTTATGGCCAAGTAATATTCCATTGTATGTATGTACCAATCTTCTTTATCCAATCATCTATCAAAGGACACTTCGGTTGTTTCCATGTTTTGACCACCATGAATAGTGCTGCAGTGAGCACTGGGGTACGTATATCTTTACAAATAAGTGTTTTCATGACCACTTCATAGGGTCCTTATGAGTCTTAAATAAACTTGTCAATGTTATACTTTCCTCCAGCCACTTTTCAAATGCAACTCTCCTGTGGCAGCCTTCAGTGATTACTTTGTGATAAAAGAAATTCTCTCTCCTGTCTCTACAGGCTTCCTTTGTAACTTTTCTTATAATGTTATATACTATACTTAAATTCATTATATGTGTGCTTCCTTTAGCTTCCTTTCTGGAATAAAAATCTTTGAAAACTACATATTCTCAGGATTTTATTCTCATTAGCCCCAAATCTGATGCCTTATACAGTGTAGGAGCTTAGGGTGTTTTTAAACTGAAATTTCTCTGTTACCTTGTAAAATATATGTATCTGATTGTTTTAGTACTATTCTTATTACAAAACACATTCACATAATTAATCTACTGAAGTTTTCTATCTATTATGTACGGTAGACAGACAAACATGCTCCCAATTTATAAATCCAGAGGCAAAAAAACCTGAAATCAATTTTAAATAATGTAGTAAATCTTCGCCATACACTTGAGTAGCAGATGACCATGTAAGACTTTGGGACTTTGACACCCATAGAAATGATTATCATAAGCATGTGGCATTTTTTCATCATTTAAAACAATGCAAGGGGAGCCTTGACATTTTTCATCTCATCCTGATACCGATGCACATCTTAGTGCATAACCTCAAGTCCACGTTTTCCAGAGGTGCATTAATTAATACCTTTCATTGTCAGATTCTTAAAGGAATTTGTCACAAAAATGAGTAACAATGATCTGAAGACAACAAAAAACACGCACTAGTAAAATAGCACATCTTCTAATAAGTACTGTACTTACCTCAACTTTTCAAACAAGTTTAGCCAACTTTAGAATGCCTAAATTTGTCAAAACAATAAGAAACAGACAATATGTTGGGTTGGGAGGTAATAGAGAAGAGCTGAAAGAAAAGCAGGTGGGGAAATGTGGAGAATAGATGAGGGTGAACTACAGAGTGTTAGGAGAATCTTTCCATTCTAAAAATCATTTTTACTGCAGCAGCCACAGTGAGAATCATTGCTTTCCTTAAGGACTGTCTCTGAAAATACCCAACCATCTCTGATTCAGTTACACTAAACTTCTATCATTGGCAGAAACACTACACTCATGTTATTTAATAGAAAATTTACCATTCTCTGAGGGAAAGTTAATATAACAAGGTTCTTTATCCCTCAAAAGCCTAATCAAAGAATGATATAAACTCCATCCCACATATGTGACACAATTTCATTATATAGTTTATAGAAATGTACATTTGAAACCTATGTAATTTTACTAACCATTGTCACCCCAATACATTTAATAATAAAAAAACCCCTCCACATTCTATTTCCTCTTTCCACGAGAAGTAGTTATTCAGATTTTCAAACTAAATCTCAGATGTGTGTCAACTGCACATTATATTCTTATATCATTTTAGAAACTTACAAAGAGTAATAATTCTAGACTGCAATATACAACATTCTATTTAAAGCTGTCAATTGGAGATGGAAAATGTGGCATTCTCCAGAAACTATATCAGAGTTACTACCTCTGTTAATATTTGCTCTAATTTCTGACCAGGCATAATCTCTTCTAACTTTTAATACCCATAATGAGGACTTATCTTGCTCAGCTATAGTACATGGAAAGCACCTGTGAACTCTTCTATACTCTGTCATCTCAAGAAACTTCAATAAACCTTAGGACATGGAATGCAATGATGGCTTTTCACATGCCTGGTGTTTGTAAAATATTTGTTGAATTCAAAAGATTGTTTTATTCCAAATCTTATTTTCATTCTATTTACCATATTAACAATCAAGTTTTTGAAACATTATTCTTTTTCTCTGTTCCTTTCTCAGAGGAAGCAGGAACAATGTAGTTATAAGACATATGGAAATATATTTTAAAATTATGTTGAATTATTCTGTAATGATACCCCTTCTGAGTACAAAGATGGATGTAATCTGTCACTTACCTGTTAGAACACTCTAAATTAGTGTGAAGTGTTTCCATCCCTTTTTCAAAGCAGCCTTCCATAAAATACTGAAAAAAATCTTTTTCTGCATTCCCAATGGAATATTTTAAGACCTAATGACATAAGATATTAGCATCCTAATTCCCTAATGTTTCCCTTCCTTTGCTAATCAGAAACATCCCAGATGTAGTAAATTTAACTTTGGGTTTACCCATTTAGCCTACAGAAGAATAAGTTAATCCTGCTCATACTCAGTAACCAAGCACAAACAAAGCTTGGGAGGTACTAGGTGCCTCAGGATGATCAATGATATCATAGAATAAGAGGAAAATACAAAGAGATGACAGCCTGGATGATAGAGAACAGAAAGAAAAACCAGCAGTGTCTTTGGTAAAAGAGGAAGAGAATCTCCAACAAACTACTCTGTTCCCACCCAGTGCCCTAAGTTGCTCCTTCATGCATTAGGAGACAAAAAGTTTTCTAGTTCTTATGTTTTATTTGCAAATACACTCCGGGAAAGGCAGTGTGAGGCCTAAAACCAGTGGTTCAATTCTTAGCCAATTTATCTGTGTCATATTTGGAGTAAAAATTATTGAGCACTAAAATAGATGGTGTCCTATGAAGGGAACGAGTTTCTTTGAAACAGAAAGAGTTTCCCTTATTTATTAAATATTATTAAAATGTGATCTAGAAATTAGATTTGAGTATATGATTATGGTTTTATTGAGAAGCATATTTATAAAAACATTTCCATCTTCTCTTACATACCTACATTAATTAAAGGTGACTTGCAGAGGTTAGGAGAGGAATAATAAAGGGACTTGGAGTATTGTGTGATATCATAACATTCTTTGCTCCCCGGAAGTTATCCTGGGCTCAAAAGCCTAGCCAAGTAAAATAAGGTCTCTGTTTGTAAAATGATAGTGTGCTGTATCATCTTCACTCTCCTATTTGTTACAGAGCTCTGTAAGTAGATGAATTTCCTGAATCTTGAGTCCTAAGTGGACCTGGTACCTTCCAATGGAAGATTATCTGCATGTACTTTAGCCTATAAGGAAATTCCTTAAAAGTGAAGAACTTAAAAAGATGGCCTTTTTATAATGGTAATTAAAAATATATTTACCTTCATCCTATTTCATAATTTAAAAACCCAATAGGAAGATGGGAGGGGTGATAGATGAATAGGTGAAGCACAGAGCAGTTTTAGGGCAGCAAAAACACTCCATAGGATATTTTAATGATAGATATATTGGGTTGTCGGAAAAGTCATGATGTATTTTTTCTGTGCTTTTCATTGCAAAAATGTGTCATGACTTTTCCGATAACCCAATATTATTATATATTTGTCCAAACCCACAGAATTTACAGCACCAAGAGAGAAGCCCAAGGTAAACTATGGACTTTGGGTGATTATGATGTATCAACCTAGGTTCACTAGTGTAACAATGCACCGCTCAGATAGAGAATGTTGGTAGTGGGGGAGGCTATGCATGTGTGGGACAGGGCGTATATGGGAAATCTCTGTATTTCCTCTAAGTTTTGCTACTACACTTAAAACTTCTCAAAAAATAAAGTCTTCAACTTAAAAAATCCAATATAATTTATTAGCGGATGTATAGACTTTTACACACATATGCCAAGTGTTTCCTTAAAGTGTAATTTCTTAGGGTCATAAGCTATGTTAGGGTAATGATAATGATGTATTCTTTAGATCAGCCTTAGTTACCAATGCCTTGCCTTTGGTAAGATTCCAGCCCCTGCCTTTGGCTCATGAAGAAGGGAAGAAAAGGTGTATTCTCTGAGGTACAGGGCAAACTCTGGTCAATATCTCCTCCCAACATGGTCTCTTGGCCTCTAAGGCTGATGCAATGCCCTAATTATTCAGAATGCTTGATGTCAAAACCACTTCCACACTTAACAGGCACTTTTGTTTACCAATTCCCCTGCGATAACTTCTTCTAGCAATCAATGGTTTCTTGGCAAGAAGTTTTGGCAAAGAATCCCACTATTGAGCTACTGAAAATGGCCCCTACGAGCAGACCCCAATTCCCCCAACAAAGTAAAAGATTCTCTGAAGACACTACATCAGCCACTCTGAATGGCGTCTCTGTCTCCAGTGCCCTACTCAGTCATGAACTGTGACTGAGGCCTCTCTCCTTTCTCCCCATCCATAAGTCCATGCCAAACTTTCTGTCTTGACACAGAACATCTTCCTGAGGTCACATGAATCCTCACCTTTCCTGCCATTCAGAGCATGGGCACAGCGCCACTTTCACATTCAAG